CAATAATATTATAAGATTTGGATATCGCATCATCTACCTTGATTTGAAACGTTCTGCCTTTTAGGTATGAACTGAATAGTAGATAAAWYTGGGGTAGGTTTTKTTTAATTTTGTAAAGTAACCCTTTATGCCATACTCTATCGAATGTTTATTGTGCGTCTATAAACACTGCAGAGCAATATAGTTTATTCTCTAGACATTCGGAGATTTTTGCAGTCATTCTGTGGACTTGTTCGACTGCCGCGTGTTRATTGCAAAAGCCAAATTGGTGGTCAGGAAYTAATTTGTTCTTGTCGWTGATTGGTTTCAGTCTATGAAGAAGTGCTTTTTYAAATWATTTAGATAGACATGRAAGYAAACTTATTGGTCTATAAGRTGATAGCAAATGACTCTCCTTTCCAGGCTTCSGGATCATGATGATTTGTAAAATTTTCCATTGCTTTGGAATATAAGAGGTGCGTATTCTGGCGTTGWAGAGTTGGGTTATGAATAMTATTGCTTTCTTTGTAAGTTTTTTTAAAAYATGTGATGTAATTAGATCGTGTCCAGGAGCTYTTTTATTTYTTAACAAATGAATTTCWTTTTTGATTTCTGTGGGRGAGAACCATTTTAGTGGCAGATCTAGTGGTAGTGGACATGTAAGAAAGTTTTCAATTTCCTCTSTCYAGTCATTGTTGGCCGTAACCGAGTRAGGTTTGAAAACTTCGGAYAGATGGTTAGCAAATGMATCAGCTTTTTCTTGATTASTTCTAGCCCAATTTCCGTTGTGTTTCATRGGGGGGTTGTGCACCTTGGGTCTTTTAATTATTCTAGTGGCTTTCCATAACGAGTACTCGTTGTTTGAGGTCGTAGAAAGACTGGAACGTGTCATTTCTGCGTTGTTGTAGCAAATCTTTGAGCTGCTTCGTTGCTAAGTTGAATTTTTTTTTGACACTAGGGTATCTAGTGGTTTGCCAGATTTTTCTAAGTTTTCTTTTTTCTGTGATTTTTTTAATGATTTTTTCTGGATAGTGAATAATGTTATGCTGCTGTGTTTTAATTTGTATAGACTCTGATGCAGCATCATGGATTATTTTGGTTAATTGTTCTGTAGCCTAATCGATGTCTTCATGAAATTTCAGTGATTGCCTAAGATTTATTTTGAATCAATCTTGGTTGCGAGTAGTTTCCAGTCGGTCAGTGGATTTGTTAATTTTGGTTGCTGCGTTTTGATAATCACTTTTGTACTGACTACTAATATAACTGCAGAATGATCAGATGATAAATCTAGTTTAGATTCAGCATGCACATAGTTGTTAGATATTTTGCTGGAAATAAAGAAGTCCAGTAGGTCTGGTCTTTCGTTGAATCGGTCGGACAGTAAGTTGGTTCTCCAGTTGATATGATCGCAAATTTTTTATTGTGGATGTAGTCACAAAAAGTTCTGCCCCTGGGGTTTGGGAGTCTTGAACCAAACATTATATGCTTAGCATTAAAGTCACCTCCAGATATAAATTTGTTTCCCAGTTTTCCGAAGTAATTTTCAAGCTGTTCTTTTGAAATTTTATGTCGTGGGGGACAGTATACTGCTGAGAAGGTTATTAGTCCAAGGTCGGTCTAACTGGTACGCTTCCATTTCATAGCGTATAATTTGATTTTGATGATAATTGCACTTCCTCCGTGAGCGGTGCCACCAGGGTGTTGAGTGTTGTATATAGAATATCCTTTTAAAGTATGTTCTGTTAGTGAAGTGGGTTTCTGATACTAGAAGAATGTTGATTTTGTTTGTTTTGAGGAAGAGGTCAACTTCGTCACGATGTTGAGCAAGTCCGTTAGCGTTCCAAAGAATTATTTTGAGAGTGTTAGGGGGCATTTTTGGATATTGTCGTGAGTAGGTGGGTTAGAAGGTTAATTAGTGATGTTAGCTGACCAGCTTGTTTGGTTAGTATCCCTTCTAATCTGCTGAAAAGGCCATTTAGGTTTCCATTGTCTACGGGAGCGGTATTGATTTCAAGAGTCTTGTTATTTTTTAAGGTGTCAGAGTATGTCTGATTTCTATGAGGAATTCTGGTTTGTTGTTCCTGGGAGGAAGTAGAAGTGGTATTAAATTTGGTGTTATTTTGTCGTGGGTTTGCATTTGTTCGACGATTTTGTTGTTTTTGTATTTCATTGTAAACTGTACAACCTTTATAGTTAGCAGTATGTGACCCTTCGCATAGAACACGAGTTGCTGGAGAATTTTTGTTTTTAGTGCATGAAGTGGTAGGATGTACGCCAGTACAATTGACACATCGAAAAGGTCGCGTGCAGTAGTTTTTAGTATGTCTATACCTTTGGCATCTTGTACATTGTACAATGTTTCCCGATTTTCTAGGAGGCTCAACTGTAACTAGAGCGTTTTGTAAAAGCGTTATTTTATAAATGTCTTTGTTGTTTTGCTGTGGAGCAAGGTCAACAAAAAACAATGATGTCCGATTTTTGGTAATTCTGCTTGGAATATTAGACACATTTCTTATATTGTGTCCTAGAGAATTCAGATCTGTCTTAATATCCTCTTCTCTAGTTGATGGATGTAGATTGCTTAGAACTACCCTAAAGGATCTTTCCTGCTTTAGTTGGTAGGTATGGTAAACCGCATTGTTCTCATTTAAATACTTTATTAGGTTTCGATAAGTATAAGTAGTGTAGAATTGCAGTATAGCTTGACTTCGTTTCCGTTATTAGTTTTGTATCTGATATCTTCGAGTAAGTTTATATCACTTAGCTTTTCAAGAAATACGCTAATATTAGTTACATCAGGAATGTAGACAGGTGACGGCTTAGGTTCATTTTTGTTTTGGCTTTGTGTTATTTCAATACTTGGCTATCTGTGATTTCCATTGCATCGTCGTTTTGTGTTAAAATGGAAAATCTATTGCTTTGTTCTAGCGATGGATTTCGTTTGTGATTGGGTTCAGTTGGACTATTCGGTTGTCTTGGGCGTTTTGTAGGTGACTTTTTTATTGTTTCCCATTCGCTGCAGCCATATTTTCTCATGATCGTGAGAGGGCTAATTTGAGTGTTTTGTGTTCTTTGAGTAGAAGGTAGGTTGAGCCTTGCTGGTGATTACGGACTTATACTGCCGTGTACGTGTGACTTATACTACCATTCTCCCGTTAACAAAAAAAATAGTACAGAGGATCCCAACATTTTTTTCTTAATAAAAGTTAGGTTATATGGTCTTCGTTGAGGCAAAGATTATCTTAGTGCTCCTTTGATCACTTACGGGACACCTTCTATGTCACATCACAGCACTAATTGTGTGCACGCGGAAACGAATCAAACATCAAATGCAAATTAAGTAAATGAACAGTCGAGAAGGTAGAAAGAGACGCCGGCTACAAGGTGTTCCAGTGGGAGATGGACGCAATTGTATAGAGAGACGACGTAGTTAGCGCTAAAAGCTGGGTTTTCCTACTTCACGTTTACCGAAATCTGAAGTTATCTCAACATTCAACTGGTATTTTTTGAACGTATAGCCTTAAATCGTTGATCAAAAACGTATTTTATTTTTAAAGCTCAATTAATTCTTCAGTTTCTCAACCAACTGTTCATGCAGTAGCCGTTACAGCGGTTGTTTTTATTATCATAATTTTTTTTATTGCGCTTCAAACTTCGCTAAATAAACGACAATATAATTTCTTTTTTCCTTTTAAAACCATCCTTCAATCCGCCGTTGCACTTCTGCTTTAGATCGACGACAATAAAAATTTACCATTGTCGAGTGCGAAAATAAATGCAATTACACGTTATATCACAGACGTAAACGGCGCCTGAAAGCTTAACGATTCCACCTTCAAGGTTTTGTGTAGAATCTATGAACTTCACATAGTTTTGATTCTTGTTTATAAAACACACACATTTAAATTACATTAGATTGAAATAAACAGCATTAAGATTAATGTTTTTAACGATTAAACGCAAGGTGAATTAAAACCGACGACGTTACTCTGCAGGTACTTTTGAATTTATTTGGAAAATATGAGAAAATAAATAAGTTTGTTTGCTGAGATTTTGCATTAATCAACTAGAAACAGAATACAGTTTCAGTTTAGGAAACCTCACATAAAACATAAAACTGTCTTTCAGCCGCAACGACCCATTTCAATCATAAAACACCTTAATGTCTAAAATATTTAAAACACTGATTTATTGTTATGCTATGTTATTATGTTAGGATTTTTTTTGTAAATATTTTGGATTGAGGCGAGAATAACATTTCAGTTTGTTTTAGAGTCTAAAAACCCCCTTGCAACTCCTCTAAAAGAAGACTTCAGGAGTAGCCGAAAAAAATTCCTGAAAAATCGTATTTATGGTCTCGAAAATGACATTGGCAAACATCAATGTATCCGCATGCCTGACAAATATTGAAAAACTGCTGAATAGTAATGAAAATAAACGTGGTAACAAGCTTCGTGCAGTTACGCGGCATATATGAACAGGAACATGAATTCAGAAGTCATCTTTATCAAATTTTTATAATTCCTGATGACTTAGAATTTATAATGCTCATAATCATGTGGTTTTTCTAAGCTAGCTACTATATTTGCACGGCATACTAGCACACGAAATTAAATGATATTTCAAAATAGAATAAGATATCACACGTCTATATGCAGGGTGACTCAATGAAAATTACCGAATGGAAAATTTGCGCATATACTTTGAAGAAATTATTGGATGGTTTCCAAATTGTGACTACATCCTTAATATAATAAAAGGTAACTTTTCTGGTTGATACCATGCAAATGCTCTCAATCAATCCACATCTCTGCGTTTAGACACTCACGTATTCGCTATCCAAGCACTCACTCTATACTTATATGAAAATGTTTAAGAATAAATTACAAAATCTTGTCTTGAAACGTTTACATTGTTTTCCAAAGATCTGTATTTAACAAATGTAAATAATATACGTATGCATGATAATAAATTTTTGATGAAATTGTTAGGATTCAAGGTCAGTCTCTCGCAGAACCGCAGCGATTTAACAGTGACAAATTAGATAGAAGTGACATATTGCAAAAAGCTTCGAAATCTTACTTGCATCAATTTATTTCGTCTCATGAAAACATTTAGCGTTAACTACCAATTGAGAATAGTCACCACCTTGCAGGTAAAAATGAGTAAATAAACTGCAAATTATTGGAGTTGTCATTTTATAGGGTTAATGTTTTACATTCAGGGCATGCCAATTTATGAGATTATGCTGCTTCACAAAATCCAAGTTTGTTAAAGTGTAAATTTTTAATATGTTTTTTGTTGTACTTTCAGATCGAGGAAGGTGAGAACCGCGACCCGGAAATGACCGCGGGGCTCGACGCAAACAGTGCCACCACTAACGGCGCACCCGGTAGGAAGACCGACGATGGTGTCTTCACGGTTTCCGTAACTGGTGCATATGAAAATGATGGTTTTAAGGTAAGTGTTACGAACAACGACGAAATAGTACGACTGTTTAAAATAAACGTGGCAACAAGTTTCCGCGGAACGAAGAAAATAATATCGCCCTAGAGGGGTACCAAGCATTGCCGGGTCTCGCCTCTTCAGCGGTGCAATGGCAGAGAATCGAAAGAGTTGTTGTTGATTGATGCCGAAGCGCATTTTGCAACTAGTGTTTGCGTTATCTTGAAACAGAAACCTCTTCTATTTTCCGCTCACACCAGAGCACCCTTTGAACACGCTTCTCCTCAGCGGTTCTTTAAAGGTAGTGTATTGGGGCTACTGCGTAATTCCGTACCAGAAACAATCAGAAGAGGCCGCCGCAGACAGATTCAGACACGCCTGGTTACCAACAATCGCAAGTACCTAACAATAATAAGTTTGCATCGTACTGACTGAAAAAAGCATGAGAGTGCTTGACGGGTTAGAGACTGAAACCAAGAGCGGATCCAGCTTTCAAGTAAGGGGGGGTCATCTAGTAAATTCTATTCAATTACAATAATAAATCTAATTAAACAAGTATTGTATTGTTATATGTCATAATAATTTTAATCAAATAACAAAATCAATTTTCCTTTTTTGTCCGCAAAACGAGTTATAACTTACTCCACTTCAATCGGTATGGTTTTGTGAATGTGGAGAAGTGTCAGTCCAGTTGAGCGCTCTTTTGCCATTGAAGCTCTAATGCCCGGTTTCTGGTAGATTCCCTTATTGATTCGATAACTATCGGTCCGCTACAGTTGTAGGTTCTACAACTTATGGTGGGTTTCTCAACGTGTCTAAACGCCAAAGCTAGTGGATCCATAACTATCGAGTCTATAAAGTAGGCAAAGCTTGGTATTCTGTGGGTAAAGCCATAGAATGAAGAAGAAGAATCTGTAAAAAGTCCTGTCCGAAGTGGAATCTTTTATTATATTCAAAAACTTTGCTTCCCTTTCACACTCAAATTTTGCTCCCAAAAATGTTATTATTGTTTTCCCAAAACGTGTTCTCTGCTCACAGCTGATTTCGTATGACTTTTGATACTAATGGCAAATACGCTTGCGTGCGCTGCTCCTACAACTTACTCCGTGAGCGACCGTTTATCGGTTCTTCAATGTAAAGAACCGCTAGCTCTTATCGAACGTTTCAGAAACCCATTTTTCCGACTTGTAGATCCGTTTAGGCTATTGGAACTATAAAGATCGTTTCAGAAACCGGGCATAAGCCTAGTTTTGAGCTTTCGAAGTGTGGAAAAGGACCTTTCTGCCGTCGCTACACTAACTGGTAGTGAAGCAAGTATGCACAAAAATTTTCTTACATTGGGGTATATGTCAGCGTCACAATTTTCTATAAGATTAGAAATTGACTGCGGAATATTCCCAATGCGCTTCCATTTTACCCTCCACAGGCGATATTCGATTATAATTATTGAAACTGGAGTGTTGTCTATTAGCAGTTTATGATCGTTTGCAAGCTTTTTGACAGTTTCAATGTATTCATCCTCATTAGCACAATCGACTTTTGGAATAAAAACCCCGAGTTGAAATAAGTTAAGTACGTCTGGAGACAGACGATCCTCTAGATCGTTTATTACCGAATCTAGAAGAGGGATATATACAGCTATGCGGAAATATTCTTCAGCCAATTGAGCAGGTTGGTTATTGGCTCTATGTGTTTGCCTTGATACTATCCGGGGGCATCTAATATCTACATCTAGCTGCTCAACTACTTCTCTTGCTTCTTCAAAAAGCTGACGGAAAACTGGATCAACCTTTTCCCTTTTTGTTCGCAGTATACTCATTGTATCAGTAATTGCATCCGTAGCCCTTTTTAAATCAATCAGTTTGTATTCGACATTCGCTAAATGTTCAAGTATTGTCTTTTATTTTCTAATCTTAATACTATGAATAAGAAACAAAATATGTATGTATATATTGCCTAAAACATCACTCAAGCAGATAGATGATACGATGAAGTCCGAACTTCGCAATGTTTGTAGTAAGCAATGCGCATCATTAGCAGTTTTATGGTCTTGCCAAATAGAAATCTTTTGTGGAGCGTTACAAATTTTCACTAGATTGTCTCCCTGAAATTGTAGGTACCCATCATGCCTCTCGACCCAAAGTGTCTCACAGATATCTTGCATTGAAACAATGACGTAGCTAAAGTGCTGTTAAGAACGTGATTGCTGCAAGGGCAACGTTGGGCATTTACAGCTTTTTTTGACAGCTCTTGTACTTCACCTTTTGTATTTGAAGCCATTACAGAGCAGCTGTAGGTCCCAATACCAACACACCATGATAAATCTATATTAAATTTGAGACAGAGATTTTCAACAATTTTTGCTAGTGCTGCACCTGTCAATCGAGGCTCCATATTATCTACATTGCTATCAACTGCATCACTTCTCATTGTGTCGTAAGTATCACAGAAAGTTACAAAATCTTCTTTTATAATACCATTGAGAAAATATCTAAATGATATATCTGTATGTCTGATATGTATGTGATATATCTGATATGTGATATATCTGTAGTCTCATCGAATAAAATTGAAAAGTATTTAGCTTCCTTCACTTTTTGCAATACCTTTTCCTGAATAATCTCTTTGCAAGCATCAATCAACTCGTTCTGCACAGTTTTACTGATGTATGTTGCATTAGATTTAGACGTCTCTAGATGATGCTGCAATTTCGTGTCCCCAAATTCTAAACGAAATTTTATAAGCGCTCTAAAATTCCCGTTATCAGCTACAACGCTGTCGGCTTTTTTATCCAAAAATTATCTATTGTCGCGATGCCCCCTTAGCAAAATATTTTGATGACCACAAAACATTTACGTTTTGACAATTGGTCGCAAGCGTTCCCTGTTTTCATTAACTTGTATCATTCTTTGACTACTAATTTGGTTAATAACAGCAGTTTCCGGTTTTCGCAACGTTAATAAAAAAAATTTGCCCGCTTCGACAGCTACTTCGTGGTATTGACTTCGCTGGTGTTTTAGCAGAACACTATTTTCAGCAAGCAAATCATCAAAGACTTTTAATGGTTCTTTTACAAGTCGCTTCAGAGGGTTATTTACTGCGAACAAAACACAATATTTTCAGTAAAGGCCTTGATTTTTATGCGATAAAACAATCCAGTGAAACTTGCCCAGGTGTGGTCTCTGAGCATATTTTTTTGTTAGTTTTCCTTTTTTATTAACAGTACAGTGCGGAAAAATATAATTTGGGGGAGGCAGCCAATGCTTTTCAAGCAACATCGCTCTGGTTGAATCATCCATATTTTTCCCTACATAACATCCAATATCTGAGGCAAATGTTGATTGAGAAAGCAAAGTGTTTATCAGATCAGAATCGGATGACGACGCACATGATGTCGGTATGTATTGAACAGCATGAATAACAGAAATACATAGTTAATGAAGAGGTAAATGTAGAAGATAACGTAGCACGTCTATTCTCACCTGTATTCGAAGTTATTATGGGTTAAATTTTCGGATGTTTATCAATCTCAAGCCTTGTTTCTTTGTAAAAAATGAGTCAATTTTTATAAATGAACCACCACTAGTATTACGTTTAAACCCACCAGCACCATCATCTTTTTTCGGAAAGTCATCTTACGAAAAAAGACACATGCAAAAAGTATCCATGCAAATACACACACCACTGCGGGCATCAGATAACATTCACATCTATGAATACCTAATCAGATTACTAAAAACCGGGTTTAGTTTTATATATGTATGTGTTTCAAACAAAATCTCCGTATAACTACGTACTAAAATGTTGAAAACAAAAAAAAAACCCTCGCCTCTCAAACTTTACCCTCTGTTTATCATTTTGATGTAAGTAGACGAACATACCTACTATCATGAACATTAGCAACGACGCGATTTGAATACTGGTGTAATAACTTTAATAACTTACAGTACCTACTTACCATCTATTGTATTGCAAGTTGCTAAAACTTTCAAATGACTAAATTTTTTGAAGTCTCACTGGAACTTTTATGAGTTACAATCTTGAATTCACGTTCAAATCGAAGAAACGAACTACACTGAAGTTGCTGCATGAAAGAATCCTATGTGCTATCCTTGTGTGAACAGGTCATAATAGTTCAGTAGAAAATCGGTCCCCGGAAGTCGTTAAATAGCCGGAATACTGGGTCTCAGCATAAATATTATATGTTTGAAATAATTTTTATGCTGCGACTGGGATTGACCGGATGCCAAAATTTTGAACGTTATTTAAGTAAAATTATCATTAGTCGACATAAGCCCATCACGAGGGCATCATGACCGCCATGACACCCCCCCCTGGATCCGCCCTTGAGCCAAACTCATTTACATGTGTTTACAAGAAGCAGATATTCAACAGTATATAACTGTTTTTCCGTAAAGTTTCTGCACTATAAATGACAACTAATATCACGTGAATTTTAAGGTTAAGGCAGGCAGTACTGGATAAAACTAATATGTAATTACTTACTATTCTACAGAAATTCTATTATATAACTGCAAAGCAAGGGTTTGTTAAATTTTGCAATGACTTAATTGTAATGGATCGTAATGAAAATTTAGAGTTTCTAGCCCCGGTGATAATTTGATGTTGCTTTAAACATGATTTAGCACTAGACAACTCGTTTAAATGTGTAATCACAAGATGCATAGATTTAATAGTGTGTCATTGTTTTTTCGTAAAGTTTCTCACTATAACTGCCTAATACCAAGTGTATTTTGAGTTCAGCGCAGGCAGTACTAACTATATAATCTTACTGCATAGTTACAAATAAAAATTGCATGAACATGTTTAAGAAATTTCGGTACTGAATCTAAATTTGCGCGACAAATAACCATAAGCGACTCAAATTATTGTTGAACCAAAGGCTCTATACAATTAATGAAAAATTTTGATAATGTTTTATAGTTTTTACTAAGTAAAGACAATAATTTGCTGTTCTTTTTGGTGCACTGATTCGGTTAGTCAGATGCCAGCCTTAATGCTACCCTGTAATCCGGTCCATGATAGTGCCAGTGTAATATAATAAATGTTAATTTGTAAACAAGTGACACCTGAAGTGAAGCTTCTGAACTTTTAGTTTCATAACTTTAGTTAATATCTGGAATTAAATTTTAAGGAGGATTGATCGTGTGCAGGCTCGTCTTACAAGCTGCTAGAATGAATTTTACAGCAACGTTCATGATCTTGAATCAATAGCGATTGAACTTACTTAAATTCGAGACAAGCTTTGTGAAGAGGCAATAGGAAACGCGAAGTTTTTTTTGTGAAAAATAAGATATTGATACAACAATTCGACCTTCATTTCAAATTTGGATTTCTACTAGACGTTAAAAATTCATTAAACACGGATAATGTTGATAACGACTTTGAAAAAAATTATAAAAATTTGGGTGCTTTTTATACTACAGATTTCAATGCGAAATCTTACTCCGCAGTTGAAAATAATTTGAACCTAAAACTCCATTAGAAATTGTTACTTTTATAATCTTGTACTACGTAAAAACGACACACATACTAAGCGTATATGGACCAGATGCAGGCAAGCCGAAAGAAGCAAGAGAATAATTTTTCGACACCCTGCAACACACGCTAGAGAAGATACCCAGAAACGACAAGTCATTATCATGAGTAAAGACCGGATTTTAAGCATTTTGCTTATTGCTGAATTTTATAAGCAACCATTAGATTATTTAATTTCTAAACGAATTATACCAAACTAAGTATAT